TAGAAAGTAGAACTTTTTCAACTTAAATTTTGAAAGTGTTCCGGAAAGTCTGACACTTTTATATATATCTTAAATTAAAGCTAATGTAATGTACTTTATTATGCAAAATAATAAATTTCGGACTTTATTTTGTCTTCACGGTGAAAATGGCTACCAAATGCTATTTTTGTATGAAAATTCTCGATTTTATTTTTTTATTTTTAACTATAATGCTATAACTTATTTAAAAGTGTATGGAACAACATAATTTTTTTATGAGAAATAATATTTTTTAATAATCTGTTTTTCATACGACATACTTTATCTTAATTAGGATATTAATAAGGAACTAGCAGATCATGTTGCTTTTGGATCAATCCACCAATTTTTTAAAATTAAACACTATCTAAAGATTTGTGTCGAAGCATTTTTTTTGATAGTGATTTTAATCACTGTCAGATATCATTATACATGATCCAACTATGCCACGTCACCACTGTGTTGCGACCCCCCTGTGCTGGGTTTTTTTATTTTGATACTTTAAAATAAAATGTAAAAAAATTCAGCTAATCAATTCGATATTATATTTTTAATTGAATCGCGGCACATATTATAAGTACTATGTGCAATAAATTTAATATTAAAGAAATTATGTGGTATCGAAAATGAACAATCTTTCAATTTTTAAAATTTAGTTTTATTATATTCACTAAAAACAGTAGCTACAAATTTTACACAAAATCAAAAAATTGCATCAACATATTTTATTGTGTACAGACTTTTAATAAATGGTACAGTTTTTATTTTTAATCAGTTAAAAATATATATTAAAATAATAAAACTAAACAAAGACATAAAACTTAATCAAAATGTAATATAATTTTAAAAATTATCTTGTAACTTAAGGTTAAATTATTATCGATTTCTGTGCTTCGATTATTAATATCCCAAACAATTATAAAAAGCTTATTATTTTCCCATTATAAGATAACCTGTAAAAATAAAAAAATTTCTATATTTTACATCTTTACATGATTTTAGTTATAATTAAAATCAAAATTTATTTGAACTGAGTTTAGCAATAAATAATTTTATAACAAATTTGAGATGGTTCTCATTTATTGCATCATATATATAAAATTAATAAAATTAGCTTTAATTTGCTTCAAAGTGTTTTCAACATACTTNTTCATTTTAATAATTTTAAATAAAACAATTTTAATAATTCAATTATCAAAGAGTTCAAATTTACCTTTTACCAAGACCAAAAATTAAAAACTAAAAAATATCTAAAATATACATTTCAGAAAATAACTTATTTGTTGTAAAACACAAGAATCCCTTTTTACCAGAAAAATTAAAAATATATAAAAATATTCTCATGGTGCAAATAGAGGGAAGTGGACTTCAAGAGGCTTAGCCCTTCTAAAATTTCAAAAGTATACATTGTTTGGTTGAGAGTGCCTTTAACAAAACCTAGAAGAGTAGTTATCACAAACACCGTTGAGCGCATCAATCGTGTGACAGTTGATCTCTAGCGCCTTTGCTTACCTACCCCCTCAACCATTTAGCACAGCAAATTGACGGCCGTGTATAGTCCACCGTCGTTCCTCAACGAATAATATTGTACGTTTTTAACATGCTTATATTAGTTTCACATGTTTGTTGTTTGTAACTCACCACGCGCCACGTGTTATTATTTTCGCGTATCCCGTCGTCTATGGCCTTGATAATAGACGGTCGTAACTAGTGATGGGAAATATCGAATAGTAACTATCGAACTAATCGATAGTTACACAATATATTCGAATAGTTTATTTAAATATATTTTATATTACGATTTTAAAATATTCGAAAATGCCCATCACTAGACGTACGCATTCACCTCTCCCCGCTCACCACTCACCATCAACAATATTTTCCTGTATAATATTATTTTTGGTTTTCGTACCCGAACACGCGTACCTGTCATCAATTATATATGTATATAAACATAGTTTTATTTTGACTGACCAATACCGACCGCGTGCCATACGCCTTACGTACATATATTTATATATTCCTAATAGATATTACATGTATTCTAATTACTATTAAAAATATATATTAACACGCTTTATTTTAATTAAGAGATATAAAGTGTATTCATTCCGATAACAAGGAATGATTACCGTATCGTCATTTTTCGTCACTACCTCCACGTTCCGGGAGTACGCTCCTGCTGCTTTCCTTGGATGTGGTAGCCGTTACTCAGACTCCCTCACCGGAATCGAACCCTGATTCCCCTTTACCAGTTACAACCATGATATTGATAGTATAACATGAAACTACAAAGTGAAAAATAAATATAGTTTAAAAGTGTGTTTTTTTAAACTATATTTATTCTTTCTATACAGAACAAACGCATCTGTCTATTGTTTGTTGTTATTGTTCCACCATAGTTTGCCATATATTTTATTGTTTTTTACACATCCTGTTGTGCCCTGTCCGTTACTGAAGTATTTACTTCTTAAGCGTCTACTCGTGTAGTCATCAATTCTTTTATATCTTCAACATTTTAACGCAAAGCATACATACAGTCCACTTCTCACCGTCGTTATTCATCATTTATATATTCTATTTTATACAGCTAAATCTTTAATTGTTTGTCGTATTTTATATATTTTCTATTTATTCATAGATGTTCTGTCAGTAATTTTAGTAATAAAGACACTGCCAAACGCTCTTTAATTTTTAAATTACTTATCGCAGAACTTATAATATATTTGTTTTATTATTTTTATATAATTATTGTCTACACGTTATTTATTGGATGTGCGGTAGGCCGAAATTCACCCAGGTGACCTTCTCACTCGGTCATATAGCGATTTTAAACAGGCTTAAGACAAGACGGCATTCTAATGTGGTGCACAACTAGCTATTCTACGGTTTAAGCTACTTTTTACTAACATACATATTATTAAAAGCTTCTCCAAAAACGTGTTGAAATTATGTATATACTTTTTTTTTTTCATTATTATTCCTAAAACTTTTGAATTTGTGTTATAAGATTCCCTATAGCAATAAATGTAAAAAATAAAACTGAATTGGACCCTGGTAGCCTACGCCGGGTATGATATCTTATTGATTGAAACAGGGCAGCTATACTTGAATATTGAAAAGCTTCAGGGTCTGGGCTTATTATATCTGGCCCGATATGGTCGGAGATTTATAAAATATATTAATGGGAGGTACGCGTTTTTTCAAAGATACAAAAGCCTTCTACGACAGGTTATTACAATTCAAATTTTATAACTTATAATTCCTATACCAATAAGTATAATTTTATAATGGTGGATTAATACTCTCATGATAATGATAAAATTGCATAAGTATCTGTTATAACCATTATAACATTTAGGTTTTTTTTGGTTACCTCTAGTTATATATTATTTTTTAATTATTAGCTAAGTAATACTTTTTAGGTTCATCCCTTAGGCATTGTAAGAACTTTGTTTCTTTAAGTGGGAACACATATTTTTAATTTAATAAAATATTTGAGGTTTTATTTTAATATTAAATAGCATTTGAAATTTTACACATAACATTATTCGTTATAAAATTTAAAAGCTTCAAATATTAACTCAAAAATTTAATATTAAAATTTGTATTAATTTTACTATGATGTTTTAATTTCTTTTTTCATCTGTTATCACATTACATCAGCTCTTACTGAACTAATTTCTTTCAATGATACGTCAAAAGATCATAAATCGTATCTAGCCGAAAACATTACCCTCAAAAAATTCCTTCGTTCCCCGTAAATGAGGAAATCCCCCAAAAAATACAAATGTTAAAAAGCAGTAATTTTTAACATTTTTAAAAAAAAATTTCAATTATAGCTGCCATAACATTTTGAAAAATGGATGAATAGAAACAAATGTTTTTTCTTGATACATTAGATATTCACACATCATTATATATAATGATAGAAAAATATTTTTTTGAAAATCTGACCTTTTACCTGTCCACGAAAGATATTTAAAATAGAAACTTTTTCTCATAAAATGAACTTTTGAAAATGTTCCGGAAATACTGATACTTTAATATATATCTTAAGCTAAGGCTAATGTAATGTAGTGTAATTTGAAAAAAAAATTGTCTCCACAACTTATCTTCTGTGTACAAATGGCTGCCATAGTTAGATGTATTAAAATTCATAATTTAAAATTTTTACTTTAAAATGCTATAACTCTTCGAAAAATGTATAAAAGAATAGAATATAACGCTATAAGTATATTATAACTGTTATATTGGTTTGATAGACATCGCAAGACTAAAATAAATTTATCATACTGCACTGCAATGTACACTTATCATATACATAAATAAAAATCCAGCATTAAAATTAATCACTATCTACAGATTCGCATTAAAGCATTTCTTATCATAGTGATTTTAATCACTGTCAAATATCATCTATACTTGTCCAACTTTGCCACGTTCATTCTGTGCCGCGACCCCACTGTGCAAATGCTTTTTAGTAACATGTTGCTACATATAATTTCTAAAAAAAATGATTTTTAGTTTCCCCAGCATTTAGCAATGAATTTTTACAATTATAATTAAATTTTATAATACGCTCAATTGATTAGATATATTATTTAAGTTATATTACGTAACATATGTTTTAGGGACCCAGTATTTCCGGAACATTTTTAAAAGTTAAGTTGAAAAATATACTTAAGCCATATACTTCCCTCAGGGGTGTATATGGTTTACATATACGATGGGTATGAAGAATCCAGGGTTCAAGCTTTAGTGGCGGATATTATCGGCAGAAGATTCCAATGATTCGAACAACTACCGAAATAAGGAGTTAACTCTGAAAACCAACGCAAGAGGAGGGTAATGACTTGTCCTGTATGTGAGAAATCACCTAAACAGACTTATTTTGATTTGTTAATTTTTCAAAAAGTTACAGAAGTTTTAAGAAAAAAAGTAAAAAATTTACAAATTAAAAAAAATTGAAAAAATGTCGAAAATTAGCGATTTTTAAATTTGTGATTTTTTTTAATTTCCACTATTTATAGGGAACGAGGAAATTTTTTCAATTTTTAAGGAAAATGTCTTCAATTAGATAAAATTTGTGATCTTTTGATGTACTGTTGAAAGAAATAGGATCGTTGAGAGCTGAAAAAGAACTGCTACGTTGCTATTGTGATAAATTACACAAAAAAAAAAAATCATGGTAAAATTTATCCCTGATTAGATAAAGCTGAGAGCTCTGCATCGAAGATAAAATGAATGTTACTAAAGCATACCTTGTTTATTCTTCTGAACAATGTTACATTTTAATTTCTCCGAAAATGTTTTGTGAAAGGAGAAAAATTGAAGTGTTGTTTTAAAATTTTGGTAAAGAAAATTATCCGTCTGTAATNTAAAATTTTGGTAAAGAAAATTATCCGTCTGTAATTTTTTTGTGAGTGTTTGAATATTTTTAATTTTATTCTCCAACTGAGTTATAATTTTTTCACATTCGGTATGGTCGTATATATTAGGGTTTTTCACTCCAGTCTCGAAGTGAATTAAATTAAATTCCATAACACGAGCACATCTCCAATATATTTGATTAATGAATCCTGAATCAAATTTATCAATTTGTTGATTCTTAGCTATTTCTTTTATTCCCCATAACAAATTTTTAGTGGATTCCATGTGATCACAAACGCTACGTGGTAAAAAGTATATCGTAATTCAGTCATGAATAGCTTTTGTTAAATCTTCAACTATAGGTATTAGTTTTTTCATATGATACACGACTCTAGTAATTATTTTGCTTTCGTCAATACAATTACCAAAAATTATTTTGTTCAATAAAAGTGCAAATTTAGCAACACAAATGTAATATGGATAAACTGTTGCAGCTATAATTTGGCGTTGGAATGATTCTACACAGTCAACATCAAATGTGTGTTTAATCATGTCAAACAACACTTCCATGTTTGGATAATTTCCATTTTCTAGTTTTTCATTAATTGGAACTTCAATTATTTCACTAAATTTAGATCTATTATTTATATCAAATAAATAGGAAAACAACATGGATTTCGGGTGATAGCGAGTAATCTGTAAATCATCTTCAATCNGGGTGATAACGAGTAATTATCTGTAAATCATCTTGAATTTTTATTTTAAAACGATATCTTAAATCAACTTCAGTGTCATTAACTACATTCATTGTTAGTTCAATGTTACTTTCATCGAATAAGGTTTTAATAGTTTCAATATTTGGTGGTAACATATCATTAATAAACACATTATCGTAATTATTTTCATCTACTAATTGTCCTTGAATGACCATATCAGGGAAATTCATTTGTTTACCTTCATAACATGCGTCTAAAATGTTTTGTTTCAGTTGTTCAAATAATATCGGATAAATTTTCTTAAATTCGTCTATAAAAATTTCTCGATCACTTAATTCTCTAGTTTGAACTGTTACGTTTTGATACGTTTGTAATAATAAGGTATTCGAAAGATTATTCAAATAAAAATTTGTATATAATAATCCTTGCGAGTTTTTAAATGGATTTGGAATTTTTTTTTTATTTTTGAAATTATGTTCATCATCTATCACTTTAATCATATTTTGTACAATTGGACCCAACGTTTGAAGACCCTTGGCAAATTTTTTAATTAAAATATGATTGGGTGTATCTACTGGTACAATTTTGTTGAAATATATTACTTTGGTGTTCAAATTGTAAAGTATATACTTACTATAATAGCAATCGAGATTTATTTCACCTGAAATAATACTATGTACACTAAATAGTATTAAAAAGCACAATAATGAAAATTGACTTATCATTATAAAAATGTTAAAATCAAATATATAACAAGCAAGAAACTAAAAACTTTAAATTTAATTATGAAAAATTTAATATTTTCCTTCTTATATACTATATTTATTACCTCCATTAAAATGTATTTATAAAATTGGTTAAAATATTTGTTTAATAATTCAACTTAATATTAATAAATCAATGTATTTTTCAATGTTTACTTAGTGTTATTCATAATGATATTTTTATCTTAAAAAATATATTGATAAAATAGAATAAGCATTTCTTAATTTGCGAGTTCCTTTATCTATGATTTGTGTTTCGAATATTTGTATCATTAAAATTTCGAACAAACTATATAAATTTGGTGTCTTTTGTGGCATTTATACAATTTTTTGATAAATAAGAATATTTGTTAAGATTTTCCTCATAACAATATATAGTTTATTTCTTAACCTTATAGATTAAAAACTAATATAATAACTAATATAATAAATTATATTATGTAATCGATCTTCCGATAAATTGATTAATTAATAAGCAACAATGTATTTGTAATTCTATATTTAATTTTACAGTTTTCTTTTCAGAATTTTATAATCTATATTAAATAACATTTATAATAAGCAAATATGATATTTATAGTTGATTTTAATAATCNACATTTATAATAAGCAAATATGATATTTATAGTTAATTTTAATAAACCGTTTTATAAACGATCCTTGTTGATGTCATTAAACATGTCATTGATACGTGGACTAAACAAATTTAAACAAAGATGTAATTGTAAATAATATATAATAGTAAGAAATAGGATGTATAAATGTATTATTTATTTAAGAAGATAAATAATTATATAAATGTCATAATGGGCAACCGTCAGACAATACATCCAATGATGTAACATACAGAATATAAGATAGTGTGTTCGAAGTTTCTAGTAAGCTTTAAATCACATTCAATCCACTGTAAATAATACATAATGTATTAGATAGTAAAATTAAAAGTGAAACTGACCGTTAACGGAGCTATAGATGTCTTAGGTTACAAACGTTACATTAAAGCAGTCATTTGCATCAGATAATCAACTTCGGCGGTGCAGCAGTGTATACCGTATACTTGTTTGCGTATTACTTCTTCAGATCCCACACAACATTATAAGCAACAGCTGGGCATGAGATTGAGTGCGCCAACTGCCTCTCCGCATAAATATTGCATTGAATCTTTTTATAAACTTTATTATTATTAACTTTAAACATTAATTTTAAATATGTTAACTATAAATATTAGATGTAATAAAGTGATATGTTATAATTATAAGTGTCATTATTTAAAAATAAAGAAACATTTCAAAATAACCGTTTCAAATGGCGCCCCACTGAAAGCTCAAATTTCCAAAAATAATCCAATAATATATTCAATTCGACCACAAGAATGCCTCATCAAAGCAATTAGTGCGATATTATCATGGACATAGTTATGGAAAAAATGGAACAACTTGACAGAAATTTTTCAAAAGTAAACAAATAGCATTTAAAACCAAAAAATTCGTGATCTAGAAAACACAAACTGTCAACAATATGAGTTACTCAGACAATTCATCAATGATGACACGGATTTAAAATAAATAATTGAGATCGCTCAATAAAATAAAAATATCAATAATCTAAAAGAGAGCAATACCATTGATATAGAACCACAATCAACAAGTTCGCAACACCACTCTTTTATGGTGAAAACGATGAGATATAACTGAATGTGTTTTTAAAAGATGTAAATATTTATCTGTAGCATAAAAATATTTCACAAGCAGATAGGATGATTGATATTAAAGAATAATAGAGGGAATGCAATAAAAAGGCAATATCCAAAAAATTATAAAAAAAAAAAACAAAATTTCTCAACTCAATCTCCCCAATGTAATTTCACTAGTTATTTCTTTTATTTGTGCATCTGTTTTTTAATTTAACTTTGTTTATTCGTACAATTTATTTGCTTTTTTATTTTATCATGTAGATAGTCCTGAATAACGAATTGTACTTTAAAAAAAAAATTTAAATGTTAATTCTTATTACTAATTGTTATGCAATATTAATACATTGTATTGTAAGCTATATAAAAAAAAATAATAGAATCAAAATCCTAGAATACCTACATTACTAACAAATGGCTTTAAAAAGCTATAAAGGTTTTTTGAAGAAGCTTGATTTTTGGAAAATTTTCAAAAGTTTAATTGAAAAAATTAACTCTACTTTTACATGTTAAAAGCTTCAAATTTCAAGTTTACAAACTTATTTTTTTCACCTAATTAAATAACCAACATCGATAAATTTGGGTACCTGATTTAATTTATTTTTGATATACTTGTATTTTACAGGCAAGTGTCCTCACCAATAAGAAAACATAAATAAAATATAACAAACAATAACAATATTTTATACGATATTTAGATCATAGTGTTTCATTGACTCCTCTCAATGCTGTATTACCTTTCTTAGTTTTCGTTTGCACGGTTTGTAAACTAATAACACCAATTTATCAACGCAGCTAGTTAATGTATGTCAACGATACTGGATATAACGTACAACTTGCGATTTATTACAATATTTTAAAATACATTACATTTTCAGATTATATAATCTCATGAAAAACTTAGTAAGTTCTCGCACCGCTTGCTACAATACGGTTATGTTTATTGGACCACCACTGGCGACTAACTGACAATTTTAAGTTATACTTATTAAGACTACATTAGTTAATAACAACTAAACAGTAATCAGATATCTATATAACGTATACCGAAAGGCACGAACAGAAGTAGACAATATGACTTCGATTTAAAAAAATACATTTCTATTGGATCCTTTTATTTTAAAAATAAAAATTGTAAATAAGTAAAAATATATATTAAGTTAAAAATAAAAAAAATGTATTTATCAAAATTTGACGAATTTAACTATTGTAATTCTGAATATGCTAAAGTTTTCATGTATTGCTGCATTTTTTAAAATATTGTTAGATGTATTCATGTTTTCAGTTAAATTCTGACGTTTCAGGCTCATTGCAGAGCCTAACTTTGGAAAGATAGTTACAGGTTAGAAATTGGTAACTACGAGGTGATTGTTTTAACGCTAGCTAATCGATTTATCGATTTATCAATTATTAATTAGTGTTTTAATTCATATCTTATATATTATAAGGATGACAACTAATTTTTTAAATGGTGACTAGCGTGGAGGCGGCTTTAGAATATTTGCTATTTAAATCGAATAACGTCTGTGAGAAATAACACAATAGAATTCGAGTGATTATTGTGAAACATCATCTATCGCGACCTTCATTTATCATAAACTGGTCGATAACAACTTTTGAACCAGAACTTGATTAATAATTTCCGAAATAATTGGTCAGAAGTTGTTATCGACCAGTCATTTTCTTAACTACATATTTTTCTATTTTATAAGTTAGTTAACAATATATTGTTGTGAACTGGCTCTTTGCTGTCTAATTGTAATTGTGTAATTTAATAGTATATATTAACCGTGAGAACGGAAGCCCCTTTTTTTTATTCTTATACATAAAGTATTAACCAGGCAAGCATCTAGTTCTTCTAGAACATTCGATGCTTGCTCAGTCCTTTTCAATGTATAGGGCCTACGGCCGCCGTCGTCTGAGGCGATGCGCCAATAATCATTAGCTACTCGTTCAAGAGTCACATAGTTCATAGGGTCGAACTTGGACAACTCTTTACTGAATCACTTTCATTGAATCTTTTATGTTAATTCACTCACTAAATCTTTGTATTATTAAGTATTAACTTGTTAAAGTCGTTAAGTTATTTATACTAAGCAAGTGTAAATATATATTTAAATATAATAAATAGCAACTAAAATTTAAACGCATTATCTTTTCATTTTGTCTACAGCACCAATCAGGTCACAACAATATATTGACATAAAAATAAAAGTAATTAATAACCAAGTAATCAAGAAATGAATGAATCTAAAACATACGTAAAATAATTATCCTAACATATTTGTTATTTTAAGAGAAATCGCGTGGCTAGTGTTACAAAAATCACCGTGATTTCTATCGAATTATATTAATAATAATTCAAATTCGATTAATTGTATTTAAGCAATTTACAACGATGGTACTGATAATCAGTTGATTATCACTATAAAAAAAAGAATTAAAAAAGATAAGCCGACAGTATAGTTACACACTGAAACTACCGCTTCAAAAATGGACTCTGCAATGAATTCGTAACATTAGCACATAACTAAACATATTTTTCATTTAATAATATTTTAAATATTATAATTCTTTAGAAAATGTTAACAGATTTAAAGTCGACAACAAGGTCCTTGTCGCTTCGTTATACACGAGATTGCTTGGGTTTTTTTTTATATAATAAATTAACTTAATAATTAACGACCACTGGTATCTATCATCTGAACTAGTGTCAACTACATCATTGTACCGTTAGTCATGTCAAAAGTTGGATTTATAACATATACAATAAGAAAGAGATTCATACTATAATGTACAGTTATATAATTATAACGAAGAAATTATTTCTTAACATAATTCATTCTTCAAGTTGTCTGCATTATTATTTTTATTAATATATATAAAATTAGAACAAATATTCGTTGATATTTAAATCGTAATTATCACTTCTTAGAATTATAATACGTTACAAGAGTTTTTCTGACTCTTCGTCTGATTTTTTCTTTAATAATCCTTTTAATTTTTTTTGTGTTGATACTATAACATCATTTGTCATTATCTTCATCACTTTAATCGTCTACAAAAAAAAAAAATACATTTTTTGTATTTTATTTATATTTTTAAGCATAACTATTTACGAAAAAAATAAATTGAAATCAATACGTTGCCATCGGACATTACAAATTTTTAAAAATCATTGTATACGAAAATTTAGATTTTTTTTTATTTAACAAAGAACTTTTGTTGTAATTATGTACATGTTTTTAACCAAGTATTTTCGAAATTATATTTTATAGTAATTACATGTGTATCAAATATAATTTTAAATCGACTAATTATTAGTCGAATTATATTATCATTTTTGTCTAGTATCAAAGTGGTTGAAATAATCGCTGACTACTGTAACTATATAATACTCACTGAGAGTGGTACATCTTCTTTTAAATAATGTCGATATTTTTGCGAACAAGCCGTAACAGCTGCTAGGCAAGCATTCATACCACCTATATTCTTCATAGCACTTTTTTTTAACATATTACAGATATATTCAGACATGTCTTTATCAATTTCGACTTCACTTAATATATTATATTCCAGTTTTGCTCTATATCCTCTACATCTTTCGTTAAATTTGGATTCTAATGAAGCTAAAAATTACATTGAATTAAAAGAGATAATTTTTAATTTATTATGAAATAAATATATTTACAAAAAGTTCCTTTCACGTATTTTAATAAATTAAAACCTTGTAGGCATTTTGCCAGTTCTCTTCTTGCATTGTGTTCTTTAAGTACTAATTTCTCAGAAAAGTTTAATTCGTCCATTAATGTTGTAGTTTTTTTAATGATAACCTTTTAATATAAAAATACAATAATTATTTTAGACGCTCCATAATTTGAGTTTATATGGTTCGACAAAAATAAACATAATATTTAAATGTAAATTAATAAAATAAAATTTTACATAATATTTATAAACTTAATTTAGATTATCAATATTTGAAAAAATAAAATGAATTAAACACACCACTAAATGAATATTCAATAAATGTTTAATGATTCATTCAAATTTGCTTAATTATCTGTAAAATTTATTACGATTATTCAAATCTAATACTTTTAAAAAGTATATAAATTTATAACTCGTTACAGAATTTTTATCAGATTTAGATGGTTAAATTTATTACAGTCTAAATATTTTTTAATGCTTTGAAAGGTTACAAATATCATAAAAAATAATCGAATGTATTGGCCACAACGAAAAATTTGTAACCTTCATGACGCATTAAAAAATACAAAATGAGGGTCGCCAACCCACTGGGTGAGACAATGTACTGTCAGACGACAGTAGAATTTTACAAAAAATAAAATATTGTATACTGAAAGTAATAAAACCTATTAACTATAAACTAGGGGGAGTTGATTTTTGAAAAGAAAAAATACACGAGTGGATTGAAGATGGAACACACAAAAAAAATAGAATGATAGTTAAGTTAAATGAAAGGGACTTTTTGAAAAAAAAAAAATTAAGTTAATAAGAAGCAAAAAACCGAACGGTCAAAACCTCGTCTACAAATTAAAGGGAACAAAAGATACGATGAACGTCTTCGAGTGCCCACTGGCTATTAATCACGTCTCAAGTAAGCTACTGGTTTTAAGCAGTTAGACTTAACTTGCAAGACGTTGGGACACTCAGAAATAAAATGCACTACGTCACCCCACATTGTAGTAATAATATGTACACGCATCACCACATATGATATAATTTAAAACTTTTATAAAAAAAATTACAAAAAATGCATATAACATGACAGGTGGTCTTGTAACACGCCTGCCATGTTGACGGACTTAAAAAAAATTATGGACACCTACAATAAAATAAATTCGTCACTCGTGCATATGGCACGGCGCACTAAAAAAAAATAATCTGGCTCAAAGTATTAAAAACATTATACATTACCAGCCCCAAAGGGCTAAAGAAACTGGAGGCAGGCTCAACCGACCCCGTAAATACAAAAGATAATTATATTATAAATTACAGAAGCGGACACTCACGAAAAAATATACATAAAAACTACGATGTTGCGGCGCACACACAAAACAAAAAAAAATCACGCTAAGGACGAAAACTTACACAACCAGTTCCGAGTATGGTTAATTTTCAACAAAATGTCCGGCGGTCCAATGGCGACAACACGACTAGCCTTTAGGGTAGGGCTCAACAAATTTTACTACCCGGTGCCGGAAATTATTAAGAACAATTCGAATCATAAAACGACAATGTAGTTGATGAGCAGTGCAAATGACGTTCATGAGAGGAAAGGAGCGGGTTGAATGTACACACAAATGATGCCCATGAGCCGGTCTGAAGTAGTACACAGCTGACTATCTCGCACGCGCACAAACAAATCACAACACCTTATCAGAATTATTTAAATGATAAGTGCCGTCGCAAAACGCATTCGACTCAGCCAAGATAATTTAGAACGCACGCACACACATATATATATATACAAATACACCAAAATGAAGAGGTACCATTTGTTACGTTACAATATGCTACTAGAAAAAATCCTGAGTACATAGTAAGGATTAATAAAATTAAACAATCATTTTTTTTATTTTTAGACTATTATAGTTATTTTGAGATCTTATTCTTAGGACATTTATAATATACAGAGAGATTTCTTTTTAACCACTAAATTTCTTTTAAAATATTAATAATTTTGACAGTTTTTTATTGTTTTGTTTAGTATTCTTTATTTATTGATTTATTCGTGGTTAAATATTTTCATGGTCTATTCCGTATAGGGTATCAATTTTTATTAATGCTAACATACATATTTTAATATATATATATTACATATATTAATATAATATATATATATATATTTAAAAAATAAAAATCAAACTATGTCCATAACAATTTTTCAACCAATATTTTAAAAGTCATAACCATAATTAAATGTGAATTGGAAGTGTGGTACTTGTTACAAAATTTTTTATTATTATACACCTGCCGCGTTCGTTCTTCTTCCAAGTTCAAAGCCCCCCAAAATAATTTTTTAAAGTTGTTATCGATCAATAATATTCTTAACTGGATCATTTTGTAAAATTTAGACTAGTAAAATAAAAGCTGCAATTAAAAAAATAAAGTTAGTACCTTTATACGGAATAAGAAATGGCCTAAAAAATATTTAAGCATCTATAAATTAAAAGTTAAATAGTTTTATATTAAGAAAAAAAATTATTATTATTATAAAATTAATCTAATAGTCAACTAAAAACCAATTATCCTATAAAAGTTAAGTTAAAGTTAACTTAATTAATTGATTTAATTTTATTACAAAAAAACTTACAAAAATTGTTATTAAAAATATAAACTTCATTTTACTTTTTAAACTGATTAATATCTATAATATTGAGAGCAAAATAATTTATGCACTTTCATACATACAAGACTTTATATATATTAAATGTAATGAAATATATTCTCATAAATAACATTTAATAATGCAATGAAGTATGAAAAAATTTATTTGTAGACAACCTTTATATATATATGATATATAGTCTTAGTGTAAATTAACTGAAAAAATATGAATTCACGTTAATAGAATTTAAAAAAAATGGTTCTTAAAGTTGCAGTCTTTATTTTTGTACCAAGATCTATTTTAGTAATCTATTCAAATCAATTAATTTGGTCTTTTAAATTTTTTTTCGTAGTATTTGCATTATGGAAATGAACTATTGTAAAATGGCGTCCAGCACATTCTGCCATACTTTATAACTTTTGTCATGTATATACTTTGCAAAATATATGTTTTTAATAATTATTTAACCTTAGGACTTTAATAATATTATAATCCATAATAGTTTTTTATTTTAAAGAATAATGATAATTTTCTTTTAAATTCACAAAAAATCTAAAAAATTTCAAGATATTTTGTAGAACAGATTTTAAAAATGTATGAATCTGATACAAGATCTCATACAAGATTGTATTCATACATGTATGTACAATCCAAATCAAATGTAACTCCTACTCTCACTATAACTTCTATAATCAATCTAACTTTTTCTGTTAACTCTTTTTTTCTTATTATATTAATCTTTTAGTTATAATACAATTCAGAAGATTGTTTAGAATTAACATAAATTATATTATAATTATTAATTCATCATTTTTAAAAACACATAATTCATTATAGTTTTTAATTTATTAAAAAAAATGTTTGTTTTTAGATCTGTATTATTGTCATTTTTATTTAAAAAATAAAATGTAATTGTGTATATTTATATATTTCATGAAATGCTAATTTCGATGTAATTTTAATAGGGGAATTGACAAAAAATTTATAAATAATTTTTTTTGTATGAATGAATGTTGATATTATGTGATTTTCCATTGGAATCAATTATATTATGGTACCGTTAGTATGGTTGAAAAAACGATCATTAAAATAAATCATAACTTTACTAATGATATATCAAAAGAATTAAAAGAGTTTTATTTTATTGACGTCATTTTTTTTTTATAAATCATAGGACAATATAATGTAATGGTTTTCAAACTATAAAATAAGAAATGATGTAAGTTATTAGTTATTAGATTGCTCAAGTGTGTTTTACAATACATATAATGATATTGTGAAAATTAATTTAAAAAACAGAAACATATTATTAGTAATGATTTTCATTGTAGTTGAGAGTAGGGTAAAGTGACGCCTGTAGCAAGAAGGTCTTCTTGGATTTAAAAAAATATAGTTAAGTTTGAGTAATTATTTTGCAAGTATTTAGAAATATATAAATCAATCAATTATTTAAATGAACAAATAATTTTGTGTGAAATCACACTTATACCTTTTTACAAAAATAATTTATAGAGTAATAAACCTCTTAATTGATAATTTTTTATTGGCATCAATTAGTTCAATGTTTTTTCTCAATTTATCAATTATGAAATATTTTTTATGTTTATCACTTATACTTAATATAGGTGTCTTCAAGTTATTGTGGTGAAAAATTTAAATGAGCTTATAATTAATTAATCTTAAGCTTAAATTGAATTTCTTAATTCATTTATTCAACTTTCAACGTATTCAATTAAAACTTAAGAATGTCAACTCAAACCACCCTCTCCTAATTATAATTTTATTGATATGTTTTAATTAAGTATAAGTGAAACTCATTCTCTACTACTATTAATGATTGTAGGAGGAGTCAAAGTTAGTTATTTATCTCTGATAACTCGAATTTCTTCAATAATTTACTAGTAATTATAATGATTTTTAAAGTAAAATAGTGTATAAACTATATTTTGCTTTAATAAAATTCATTTTGAAAATAAAATAAAAATACAATTTTTTTTTAAACTAATTAAAAAGTGCATCTAACTAAAAAAATCTGCTTTGTTTTTTATACAGTTTGAGAGATTTAATAAGAATTTAACTTCCCATTTTTTCTTTAAATAATGATTTTGTCTTAAAAATATATACAGTAAAATATTATTTATTTTAAAGAGCTATGATAAATATTGATTTTAAATAAAAAACATGTATGTTTGGGATACTTAAAGATGTGACTTTTAAAAGTTAAATGGAAAACTTTACTTATTTTTTTACAAATAATGAAGGAATAGTTTATTAAAAATTTAACTGTATAGTGATCTATTTTGTTTTGTACTATTACTTTATCATACTTTATAATAATTTTTAGTTATAACGAGGATTACAAATTGTTGTAAAATTCTTATGTCTAAGTTGTGATAAAATAGTGTAGATAATCACTACTAATAAATAACTATTTCGGAATCCTTAAATGCTAATATCTTATAAAGCAATAGGGCAAAACTAGTTCTCAACAAGTCAAAATTGTATTTAATCTATTACCAAAAAAATAAATAATCGGTTATTATTTACTTTTTTAGCAATTTATCAATTATGTGTACCTTAGGAAATAAATTACTATTTCAATAAACTTGATATTTACTGTGAATTATAAAAATAAATCAAATTTTAATATATATATTCCTATAAAAATATTGTAATTTGATAAAAATAAGGGAATGGGCAGTAATTTAAGTAAATCAAACTGTATTAGAATGCAGTTTTTACTCTATATAATAAAACAATAATAATTTTTTTTAGAGTTTCAAACTCGAATATTCTGATACATTTAGGATATCGTAACAAATAAAATTTTAGTGTAGGGTATATATTTTTAATTTTTATTATAATAATTATTATTAAAGTTTTAAGCAAATACACAAGATACTTAATTAATTTTGCCTTTTAAACATCACATATCGATACACAAAATCAATCTTTTTCTTCTTCTTCATCCTCGCCTTAATCCCAACTACTTGGGATCGGCCACCCTTATCCTAAACTTCCACTGGACACGATTCCCACATCATCTATGCTCGCTCAATCAAAATACACAAAATCCAATAATTTATGGAAAGTTTTTTTAAATAATTGTTTTACAGATCATTTTTTTAAAGTTGATGAATCATTGAAAGGTTTCTAGTTTTCAAATATAAATTTCGTTAAAATTACTTTAATTTAATGTAAGTGTTGGTTTTTCAGACATTCCAGAAATTTTCTTTCATAATCTATCTGTACTTAGGTTTTTTCATAAAAAAACACCATAAAAAAGCTTATTGTCATTACTATACTATATTAAAAGATGATTTGGATCAGTGTATTTTTTAAAAAGATATAACAAAATTAAAAAATTATTGCATTTTACAGAAATTTTTGCGATTTTTGTTAAATAAATAAATCATAGGAAAATTCTAGCACAGTAGAATGCGGCTTAGTTGGGACATTATATGACTGTAATTAAAATTACTATCATAAAAAACGCTACAATGAAAATCTGTATATAGTATTTAATTCTTAAAATTAGAATTAGAAGAAATTGTTGAATTAATCCAAAAGCAACATAAACTACTATTTCCCTAATTATATCCTGATTATACATTTTATAATTTATTAGTATAACACATTATTAATTGTAATTTTCATGGAAAAATTATAAACGTTATAAAGTTAGTTAAAGTTTTTATTCACTTATAATATGTAACATAAGCTTTGATTTAGTGTATATTAAATGGACATAGTATTTTCGGAACATTTTCAAAGGTTCAGTTAAAGAAGTTATAATTTTTATAAGTATTATTTAAGTTTTATACCTCCCCCTATATAAGGGACAATGGTTAAATTTTTAAAAAAAAAGTGTGCTGTATGAAAGAAATACATATATAAAGTACTTGCAAAAAAACTGTATTGAGCCATAAATGTTTCAAAAAGTTATAGCAATTTAAAGTTAAAAATGTAAAGTCTAATATCAAGAATTTCAATACAAAAAGCTGCATTTAATTATTAACACTAATAATTCATTTCAATTATTCGTAGTTTCAACCTACACATGAAATTCATTGAAATTATTTTTAAAAATAATATATTCCGTTGACGTAGTAATCTAATACTTGTATTTATGAAATAAAGATATTATTTGCACAGCTGATTTTAACAGCCAAAAAAATGGATAAGTAAATGCTTAATAATTATATTTGCCATAAAGTTGAAAGAAATTTATAATGTAACTTAGAAACTAAATTATTAGCAAAATAATAATATACTCTATTATAATATAACATACAATACTTCCAATTAGATAAAATTGTTTTTATGAGAAAATGAAAACTTTTTAATAATTATTTAGATTTTAATGATCTACTGTAATTTATTGAAAATATTACAATAATTTTTTTTATTTTATACGAAAGTAAATAAAACAAAAAAATAATTAATAAAGTATACAAAAATTTCATTACTAATTGATATTATCTGTAAACAATTTGTGTATAAAATAACAGAATTATTTTCTTTTATAAAACTGATATACACACAAGTATATTATTGAATAAAATTATCAACATATTTAATAATTCATACTTAGTGTAATTATGCTATGAATTATAAATAAGCAAATTTTAGATTATCAAAATGTATACTGGTGTTTGTATTTATATATAGAATGTCCAACCATTATTGACTACTTTAAATACTAGTTTATGTAGTCAAATTAATTAATCACGATTGAACACTCTGTATAAAGATTTTTATAAATATTAATGACACTTTTAATATGATTATCACTTATAGTAAATTTCAAAAAGGATTAGGTATATTATACTACTAATATTTAAACTGTATCAAAAATCATTATAACATGCAATTTATTATACATGATTTAATAATGAAGTAAAGTTAAAACCGTTTTTTATACTTCTCTAGTAAATTTTACTGCAAAAATTGATAGAACGTATCATCTAACCGATTTTTTTACATCAACCAACATCGACATATTAAAAATGTATATTACTTTCAAAAATATTAATAATTTTTTATTTAATTAAATCAAATTTCAGGTAAAATAGTTACAAGTAATTTTACAAAAATAAATTTTGTAACAAAACATATTTTAAATCGATTCTTGTTTCTTAGATTTCAGGACTACCAAACTATGACAGATTACACGCCACTGAAGTCATCTAGTGAAAATTGACGAAAAATCAAACAAATAGTTTGAAGTAATAACGCTAGATGACGCACGCATAGGAAAAAAAACATAAATGCACACGAAAACGGCTAATTAGTGTGAGGAACCTTTAATTACAAGACATTATAGCGCTAACATTACTACTTTAGAACTTTTAGAACGGCTAACATATGGAAGGTTACTGACTAGTGACTAGTAAACTCCTACACAGAAATAGCGTTATGGGATTGTAAATTAAATAATGACTAATAATCGGAAATTCATAAAATCCTGACAATCTTCTGCACAGACATGCTATTAATTTCTACACATAGAAATAATATTATTTCCCATTGTAATATTAAAGTTTATAATGATTATAATAATATTATATTACATAAGTTTCAATAAAACAACTATGATAATTAGTGTTAATTTTTCGTTATTCAACATCATTATACATAATATAAATTTAATGATTTTTACATATAAACACCGTACTATAAAAAGTTAACCATTTAAAAATACACAAGTTATACAGAACTAAAAATTTGTTTCATTTTTTAACTTTCACGTAGTATATTATTTTTTAAGACCTTCAAGGATATTATTCAATAATTATCATCAATGTGTCATTATTTATACAGTATAAATATAGTGGCTAAAATAGATTCTACTAAATTATATGGTACATTAATATTTTTTAAATATTCTTTGAAACAATTTTTTATTTTTATAAAAAAAATTTATTGTTACTGTATGCGAATTTTGTTCTATTATTCTAAAAATAATACTAAGCGTTAAGTCTGAAATAACAACATTTCAAGTGTTTAAAAAAAATTAGATTTTTTCAAAATCCGAAAATAAAATAAAAGTCAAATAAAACACTATTATAAATAACTGTTTATAATGTAAAAAAAATTTATATTTTACGACGTAAATGCATACTTTTTAGTACTATTTAAATTAGAAATAAAAGAATAAATAATAAAGCAACATATATTTAATATTTAAAATTAAACAATAGTAGTAACATTGTAACAGCAAAAATTACTTTTGGTAAATCATAGGAACTGAGGTCTATGAAAAATAATGAAACACTCCAAACAATAAAGCAACCTTATAGTCATTACAATGAGTTTTAGATATTTTTACATCTTTTATAGTGATATACAACATGCATTTAGTATAATTTCCAACAACTGGCAAATACACCCCAACATTTTGATGTTTACAATTATTACCCGAAATTAATTCACGACCATCACCAGTGATCTTTGCCTTCTTTTTAGTTGAAGGTATTTTTTTTTTGTGAACTGACGTTTTTTTTTGTTAGAATAATGTCCGAAAAATCATTTGATAGAGTTGAAAGATCTAATAAATGTGGCATTTTTTATAGCCATATCTAGTTTTCATTTTATTATGTATAAAATATAAAAATTTACAATGCCTGAATTTCTGGCTTAGAAATTTTTAGTTTTCACTAAAAAAATTCAATACATTAATAATGTCATATTTTCTTAAGTTTGAATCATTTTTTAATTGATTGATTTCTAAAAAAAGAAAAAATTGAAAATAAATTATTCATAAATTAGGAAAAAAATGTATTTGTTATGACACGACCCAAGTCGCAATAATGTAGTCGACACTGGTTTTGAGGGTAGAGACCCGTGGGCCGTTTATTAATGAGCAACAACATGTTAGTTTAAAAAAAAAAAAAACCGAAAAGACGAACACATATAATAAATAGAAAAGAGATAGGGGAAGAGAGGGATGGTAAACATTTGGTGAAGATGATAGGAAAGGAGTTATAAGTTATTTGGATTGTGTTAGATTTATTCATATCATTTTATTCCTACCTCTTACCCACTCTGTCCTATTTCTTAATATTACATGAATATAGTGCATGTCTTGCGACTACACTTACCTTGATATCCAAATAGATTCGTAGATAGATGGTGAATTGTGATGTTCCTTGTTGACGTCGAAATTTTAAGTTAATTTAAATAAATTAAAATACTGGTAGAGGGGTAACATACTGAGTTTATTTCTATGATTTTTATTAATTATTTTAACAAATGTATATAAGTCTTATAATTAAAAGTAACGTGAATTTTACATTATTAACCTTTAATATGAAAACGTAAGAGTATGGGGGAATAATAAGTGAGACTGAAAGTGAGAGTAGACGAGTGAGTGAGTGTGCTAATTTTACTAGCCCTTTTATATTAAACTAGTTGGTAAGGTGATGAAGGGAGGCTAGTTTTTCTTAAAAATTTAACTATTTAATCCTGCCGTCTGTTCGGCGCCACAGATACGCTTATGGTAATTAAAAAGATGGACATTAATGTAAACATCGCTCCAAATGAACGATGTATTTGTAAAAAGTAATAAAATAATAGTCGGTCAGAAAATAATTTAAAATTGATAATTATTTATGTGTAAAGATTATTCTAGAAGTTTCTCGAATAATCTCGAAACTTCTATTTTGATTCATAACACACAGTAAGGATAATCTTCTCATAATATCGCGGCACTTTCGCTGGCGTCACGGTGATCCTCAAACGTCAAAAGGTTTGCAGCGTTGATGGCGACGGTGAGCGTGACTCGACGGTTCGTCGAGTCCGGTCGTGCAGCAGGTCCGGAGCCGTTGACAACGGCAAGAAGACTCAACGTATCATTTGCGGGGGGTCGTCGTCGGCTGTGCGCCACTTGCTGGACTTTGCACTGATGTACGCGGGTTGGTCAGTCAAATACTCATAGTAGGCTGATAAAGTCGCAGGGCGTCGTGTATCACGAGACGTCGCGGGGCCGTTTAATTTATGTTTACTGTATAATTTCTTACGGCTCAATTTTATACGCAGGAATAATATGTATTTTCAATCTATATAAATGAATAAATTGAATGATATGATTTTTCAATAAATTTCGAGTTAAATTGGCTAGTTAATAAACAATTGAATATTGATGAGAAAAAAAAAGAAATGTTTATCTACAACTGAGTTCTCATGCCATCCCTTTAATAATAATTATTAATAATTAGTTCAAAACGAGCATTAACATATAAAAAAATACAGGTTAAAATGAAATTCAACAACACAACAGTGAACGAAATTACAGGTGAAACTAGGCAAGAAATATTTCTGAATATCACTATATTATAGAATGCTATAGGATATAACTAATAGTTATTAACTATATTGACACGGCCCGCGTCGCTTCGTTATACACGATGCCCCGCGACTCGTGCCACCTTTATCAGCCGTCGCCCTACTATGAGTATTTGACTGACCAACACCGCGTGTTATACGCTACGGTGCAAAGTCCAGCAAATGCCGCACGGCCGACGACGACCCGCCGCAAATGGTGCGAGAGTCTTCCTCCCGTTGTGAAAGCGACAACGTCGACAGCCGAACCGCACCCGCGCACCGTCGCCTACAACGCTGCTAACCATTTTGCCGTCCAAGGATTACGCCGAACATCGCGTCGTCGACGCCAGCGAAAGTGCCGCGATATTATGCGAAGATTATTATTACTGTGTTTATCTTTTCGGTTTGTTTTATTTTTGTTAACATAATCTGTTGTCGCTCATTTAATAAACGGCCCACGGGTCTCTACCCTCAAAACCAGTGTCGACCACATTTTTGCGACGCAAGTCGTGTCAACTGGCTCCCCGCCGGGGAGCCGGTAGTATAGTGGTAAGTATCCCCGCCTGTCACGCGGGAGACCGGGGTTCGATTCCCCGCCGGGGAGCCAGTTGATAGAAGGTGGTGTTAAACCAAAAATAAATGAGAAAAACTAGTTTTTCTAAGGGCGTCAAGCCGTTTATTAAGAAAAAAACAAGAATTGTAACACCGAAAAAAAAACAAAACAAATCGAGTGCGAACCAAAAGTAACAATCATAACAATACTAAAAATCCGTCGACACAATAAATACAGATGACCGAATTTGCGGTGGCGATTCAACCAAAGTGTTAGGTGTCACGAAGATGACTGACCGGACGTATTATTGCGGCGGGGTATACGACGCTAGGCATTTGTTGGACTTTACACCACGGCGATAACGCGTGTGTGTGACGGTCCGGTTTACAGTTAAGCGGTGGCTGAGAAGGAGCTGACACGACCGCGGGGTGTCAACGTGTGACAACGCCGTGGCCGTGTCAATATTTAAACACCAAGTGTTAAAAAGAAATGATTACTAGGACTTTTATTTAAATGATTAATTATAATAAAATAAAAAATGGCGATTTCAATGAAATGTTGAGTATTCCCCACAAATTTACTGTTAATAGTAAGTTCTTGATCACGTGTCAATCTGAAAAATATAATTTTTGTCATCGGGACAATTTTTTTTTTTTAATTTATAATATGTAACATTTTCCCTGTGGATAGGGGATAAGAATACTTCCACGGATTCTCTGCCGGCGTAAAATTTTTGTCAAATAGTGTGAGGTGTCCTCACGAATCAAACTTAGGCGAATTGTCTTTTCTCGGATGTATGCGGGGAGAACAGGTTTGTCGGACCCCAAGTAGTTGGGATTAAGGCGAGGAAAAACATGAATGTATAGCATGTAACATAAGCATTAATTTGATATATGTTTAAAGGACGCAGTATTTCCGAAACATTTTCAAAATTTAAGTTGAAAAAGTTGACTTTTGTAAAAAAAGATGCTCTTTTGAATCCCCCCTGTGAGTGAATAAAGGGTCGGATTAACAAGAAATTGTTATTAAATGAAAGGGAAATACCTAAGGTTTCAATATAAAAAATAATTATTTTTATTTGTTCATTTTTCAATAGAATATGGTAATTTTTAGAGAAAAAAAAGTCAAAATTTACCGATTTTTAAAATCGTAATTTTATGAGGGATTTTCACCATTTACGGGAAACGAGTGTAAAATTTTTAATTTTTGACAGTAATATCTTCAACTACATACGATTTGTGATATTTTGACGTATCGTTGAGAAAAATTGGTCCAGTGATGCTGAGAAAAATGAATGACAGATATAAAAATGTATACATTATATTTATTCTGTAAGTAATTGAGTGGGTTATAAATAAAAAACCCAGCACAGTGGGGACGTGGCATAGTTGGATCCAGTTTAGATTTAATCAGACAGTGATTAAAATCACTATCATAAGAAACGCTTCGATGCAAATCTGTAGATAGTGTTTAATCATAAGAAATTGATTGATAATTAAAAATGCAACATTAACTTCTATTTCCTTAATTATATTCAGATTAGTAATTCTTAGATTCAAAAATACAATATATATTTTTTAATTATACATTATATATTTTTGATAATTAATAGTTTTCAAATTATTATTGATTTTGATTTTTAATATGCTAAAAGTAATCATTTTTAACCTACTTATTTTTGTTCTTTAAAGTGAAAGTTTATAAAAAAAAAATTCGCAGGTTCACAGAATTGCTATTATCAATGGTAGTAAGGCATATTGTAGTGAGTTTATAAATTCACTACTGACAATATAAAAAGTATATCTATTGATAGTCATAATTGATAATAAACATTCCGTGACTGTGACAATGGCGTCATAAAAAACCAATTAGCTACCTGTATTTGTAATCTTTTGTGTATTATACATGTATATTAACTCAAAAATTTGAAACTTTAAATGTTTATATCTAATAAACAAATAAAGTTATATTAAAAATTCAAATGCCATTTTCAATTAATTAAAAATCCAAACATTTAATTAAATTAAAAATATGTGTTCCCATTAAAAAACACAAAGTTGACACCCTTACAAGACATAAGGGATGAACTTAAAAAGTATTAAATAGTTAATAATTCAAGAATAATGTGTAACTTAAAATAACAAAAAAAAAAAAAAATCTTTTTAAATTATTATTACTCTTTAAGTAATTGAGTGGGTTATGATAAAAAAATCACCCTGTATATGTAGCAATATAAATGTCAATTTAGTCCTGGACAAAATTTCTTTTTACAAAAACTGCATTCTGTTTCATCAATCATAATTTACATTCCCAAATTTACATTTTCGACAAAAATATTTCATAATTTCCTTATAATTTCATTATTTTATTTCAATGTATTCTTGAAATTATTAGTAAACATACAAATAAATTTTCATTAATTTAAGTAATTATAAATGAGTTATCTATGAACACTATAAATAAATTAAAACATAGATACATTTTCTTTTATATATTTTTATTTTCTAGGAAGATTTTCTTCAGTATATTATATTATTCAATGATTTTATTATGGTTTTTTTAGATTTATCCAATTTCCAACCAAATATGTTTTATTGTTTTTTTAAATTTGATGTTATGTTGTATAATTTTGAAGGTTTAATTATAGCATTTGTTCAAAATCACTGAAACAAGAATAAAATTATTATATTTAAAAAATATTTTCATTTTTTAATATAGTTTACAATTTTAATTATGTACATTATATTTTCTATTAATTCATATAAACATGATCTGATAGTTGTAAATAGTAAAATGACTAATTCCAATTGCTGAAAATTGCTCAATAAGTAAACACATTATTTATTAACATGAAATTTGAACTTTTAAGAATGAAAGGTGTTAATTTGTGATATAAGACTTATGTGACAAAATTTAAAATTTAAAGTTTATATTTAAATATTATATTGTAGTAAATCCTTAAAACTACACTGTATTAAAATAATTTTAGTTATAATTTACATATTATTATGTAACTTATAACCAATGTTCATAGAAAAAATATTCTATTAAAAATAATCTAATTGTTTTACAATTAGATTAGTAAGTATAGCAAATAGTATGATTTACTAATTATAGATTGATATCATTACATAATATACAGAATAGACACTAATAAAAAATATTGACAGCCAATATAGAGAGGTGATTAAAATAGTCGGCTATTTTGAATTAGGGGAATCAATGCGTCCAGATCGCTAAAATTAAACATCTTACAATATTTAATAATAACTAAAAAATTATTTGATCAAATTTTTAAAAACTCATTAATTATTTAATAGGTATATTAAAGTACTAATCATATTTAAGTGATATATTTTTAGAATAATTCTACATTTATATAAAATTAATTAATTTTTTTTTTATCATTATAATACAAATGATAGCATTACCTACAGAAAAATGATTTGAGGACTAATATTATATCTAGGGGTCAAAAATCATAAAATATGATTTGATGTTTTGACTACGATCGTTTTCGTTGAGGATATATGGAGTGATTAATTTATCTATAATCCCTAAAGTATTTGAAAAATAAAAATAAAATTCATTAAGACACATTTTTTTCAATTTATTAGTCATTAAACATTTATTCTATCCGTCTTGTAGTATACCTTAGTAAAGATGACAACTTTATTTACTAATATACACAATCAATTTATTAATTAGATGTGAATTATTAAAATCTTATTTATTAGATAATGATCGAATAAAGAAAATGACTGCTTGATAACAACTTTTAAACCAGTGTTTTGGTTGTTATTAACATTTTGTAATAACAGCTAAAAGGGATGCAATTTAAAATGCACTTAAAGTAATTAGCAATATAATATAAATATAATGCTGTATTTTGAAGTATCCGTATAACAATTGTACCTGACGTTTCAATTGCATCTGGTATAAATTATTAATTAGCTACTGTCAAATGTGAAAGTTAAAAAAAAAAAAGAAAAGAAAATGTAGATTATTGTTCTATTTAAAATCTTTTTGTTATTTAATTACACAATATTGGACGTAAGCCTAATAAAAAAAACAATACTGCATAAGATCCGCCGACAATTTATTAATAACGAATAATACAAAGACACAATCGAATATAGCTCTTCACCGCGGATATGAACTTGTTACATCATAGACTTTTATAAGTCGTACCTCAACCTCTTCCCTTGAATTTTGTCTATTGACAACGCTATATTCTTCACAGTAGCGAACTTATAGTAAAAAGAAAAAGTAATTGTACTGGTGGCTGACGAGTAGTTACCCCTAAGTCTTCTACGATTACTTAGGTCTTGACCGTGCTGATGGTTTTAGAATTTACCCTTTTAGTAGCCATCGAGTTTGGAGGATTGTGTTGACCAATAGTATTTCGAGTGGAGAACTCGCAAAAGGAGCTATAAAACATATTTTTACTGTGAATATTATTATTTTGTATAGAAGACCAGGCCAAGCTAGCGAACGGCACTATGAATAATCCCAATTAATTAGGTTTATTTAAAATTTAAAATTAAATTTAAAGTATTGATTCAAAACCAAAAATTATATAATAATATTTAACTTGAAAAATCACAGGTATATATTCTTATTATAATTACATTAAATTTTTTTTTATTTGGTATCGCTAAATGTATTAAAATTTAAATATAAAAAAAATTAATAGAAATTTTATTTATAATATCTATATTACATATAGATATAATGCATTTAGTATTAAACTAATTTGTATAAAATTCAAGAATAGTAAAATTATTAGTTTTTTTCAGATATTAGAAGTTAATTAATAAAATTAATTTGTTATTTAATATTGAGATTCCATAAATCCTTTAATTAATAAAAATAAATTATTAACTTATGAGATAACGTTATTTAAAAATAAAAAAATAAAAGTCATATAGCTTTATTGTGTCTTTTAGGATCAAATAGTTTTAATATGATATAATTTCAAATATTTTAATCTAATTTTAGATATATTTAAATTCCAAAATCTCTATAACTAGGTAAATTACCTTATTTAAATTAAAATTGACTCTATAATCAGATATTTTGAAATATTTGAACTCAAGTTTGATGTTCTGTTTATTTAATTAATCATGTTGGCATAATTTACCAACACTGTTGACAAATCAATATGCGCAACAATTAAGACAGTTGATCACTTTTTCTTAGTTCTCAGATTAAAAATAAAATTTGATGAAATAAATTTTTGAAGAAAGTTATTTTAAGAAGAGTAAAATCTAAAATCAATTATCTAATTATCTAAAACCCGAATTTTTTCAATTACTACTTTATTCGATGCACATAGCCAAATATTATAATACTATATATTATTTGTTTCTCAACATTAAAAGCTATTATCGCAACGAACTTAAATAGTTTTTTCAAAACACTATACTAAATTATTTTAGATAAAAAATATTTTACTTAGTTTTTTTAAGGACGAAATATAATAATAATTAATGATAAATTAACCGATTTTTTTTCCAGGAATATTTTTAATACCTTTTTTCTTTCAAACCATTTCCTTTTAGTTAACTTACTTCAAGTTTGAGCTTTCTCGATAAGAATAATTCGAAACATCCTTTAATGATAGCTTTGCACTCATCCATGCCACCCTTTGCTATAAGCTCTGTGATTGGATGAAGTTTTTTGCATAAATTTTCTCCAATATTATTAATCAATGCATATCCTATTGAAGGTATTTCATATAATTTTATAACAGTAGTAAGGTAATTTGAAAAAGTGTTATCTATAATTCCAAAACCTAAAAATATATATTAATTTAAAAATCTTGTACTTTATTTTCGCTGTTTTTAATGGTTAATAGGTAAAAATATAACCAATTAATTACAAAATAAAATAAAAATATGTAATAGTTAAAATATTTTCTTTACACAATTAATAATATGTATTATTTTGGTTATATATAATATTCACTAATTAAAATTTCTATTCACTCAGTGTCGAAAGTAGCAATAAATAATATCATGTATTATAAGTATTTATTTATATGAATAAATGTTTAAGAAAGTACAATGTATTTAGTACATAAGAGAATATTTTTTTGCCAAAGGTACTGTTTTATTCATAATTATCTTATGTAGTGATTTTAGATAGTATAATTTATTCACTCTGGTCTAAAAATATACGCGATGTATTTCGTTTTGTTAAGGAATTTGTCAATACTTTATATGTGGTTATTTTATATTGGTACTGCAATAAGTATTTCAGTGTCTGTATAAATTAAACTTAAGTAATTACATGTATTTGTAGTAGTAAAATGTTAGTAACATTAGTATATAGTTTGTTACATAGTTTGTAAACATATTGCATTATAAAATAGAAAATATTATAAGAATTAAAAAAATAATATTATTAAAATTAATATGCAGTCAGGGAATTGTATAATTACTAAGCTCATAAAATAAATGAGAGCCACAAAAAAAAAAAAAAAATCACATATTAAAATAATTTTTATATGAATAAGAAATTTCTTCAAACGAGGGTAATCTAAAGTGATGTGGTCCTTGATATTCATTGAAGTTATAGAATCTAAATAAGATAAAAATCTAATGAGTTCAAAATTTTTTTCCAATTCAAAAACTAGGTTTTTAAAATAAAATAAAATACAACATTTTATTTTGAGGTTGTGTCAGGTCGACAGCCGTCCTAAAAACCTTTGTCAAAAAAGTATGAGGAATACTGGACAAAACTTAGGTGGATTGTCTCATCTCGGATGTACGTGGGGATAACAGAAACTAGTTAAAAACGGAGAAGGCCAAGGAATAGCGTTTGATACCAGCTGGGCAACTTGTACGATAGCTGTTTCACTAGTCATTAGTACAGGTCTACCCAATGCTTGTAGTGTCAACGGTGTAGGGACATCTCCACTTAACTCTAGGCTGGACTCGTGTATAAGGAAGAAAGATATATACAAAGTAAAAATAGGTACTTAGAATGTTGAAACATTAACTGGTAGAAGTAGAGAATTAGTATAAGTATTGAAGAGGAGAAAAGTTAACATTTGTTGTGTGCAGAAAAATAAGTGGAAAGGAGAGAAATCAAGGGAAATAGGTGAGGGTTATAAAATAATATACTCAGGTAAGTCTAGTACAAAGAATGGTGTAGAGATAATAATGGATGAGGAGATGAAAAATAGAGTAGTAGAAGTAGCTAGAAAAAGTGACAGAATTATGGTCGTAAAATTGATATTCGAAGAAAAAGTGCTGAATGTAATAAGTGCCTATGCACCACAAGTGGGATGTGATGAAGATCCGGTGGTGGAAATTGAAAGAGGAAAATAAAAAGAGTTTGTAAAGACGGTAAAAAAGAGGACGGTGTGGAATGTCGAGGGAGACATAAATGATGTGTGGAATAGATTTGCTAGTTGTGTAAAGAACACTGCAAAGGAAATTGTTGGTGAGAGTAGTAGTAGAATGCCAGGAAACAAGGAAACTTGGTGGTGGGATGAGGCCGTTCTAAAAATCATAAAAAGTAAGAAAAAGCAATTCAAAGTATGGCAGAAGAAAAAGAGGAGAGAAGACTAGATGGAATATAAACGCTTGTGCAAAGAAGCCAAGTCTACAGTAAGTAAGGCGAGGTTTAAGAAGTATGATGAGTTGTATGATAGGCTAGGAATAAAGAAAGGCGAGAAAGAAATCTATAGACTTGCAAAGAAAAGAGAGAAAACATCCAAAGATTATCATTCTATAAGGTGTTGATAATAAGGTACTCTCGAGTGATGATGATGTGAAAAAAAGGTGGAAAAAGTATTTTGAAAAATTAATGAATGAAGCGTACCCAAAAGAGACAGTAGAGGATATCTCGTGAAATGAGGAACTGGTAGATATAATTAGTATGAAGTGCCAGTAGAAGTATAGAAAATATTAGGCGGTGTTGGCATAAGGTGGTTGAAGGAACTTTTAAATAAAATCTTATTAGAAGGGAATATTCCTAATGAATGGAGGAATAGTATTGTGGTGCCGATCTATAAAGGCAAAGGTGACATATTGAGTGTGAAAATTTGGGAAAAGGTAATAGATAAGAGAATAAGAAATGAGACACGGTATCTAAAAACCAGTTTGGATTTATGCCTGGTAAGTCAACAATGGAGCCAGTATTTTGTGTGAAGCAACTAATAGAAAAGTTTAGGGAAAAGAAGAAAAAGCTTTATATGTTATTTATAGATTTGGAGAAATCGTATGATAGAGTACCAAGAGAGGTCTAAAGTGGGCATTAATGAGAAAAGGAGTCCCGAAAAAGTACATTAACATAATAGAAGATATGTATGATGGCACTTGTACCAGGTTAAAAAGCGTAGGAGGAGTAACTGAAGGTTTCTGGGTAAGAGTAGGAGTGCACCAAGGTTTTGATTTAAGCCCTTACTTATTTTCTATTGTGATGGATGAAATTACTAGAGAAATACAAGGAAAGGTGCCATGGTGCATGTTGTTTGCTGACATGTTGTTAATATGAGAAAGTAGGGAAGAAATTAATCAAAGGCTAGAGGTGTGGAGATCAGCTCTTGAAGAAAAGGGTTTAAGAATAAGTAGGAGTAAGACAGATTATATAGAGTACGAGTTTGACAAAGGAGAACACGAGGTAGGTGAAATGAGGAGGTCAGTGACAATAGGCGAGGACGTGATTGGAGAGGTAGAGAGTTTTAAGTATTTAGGGTCAGTTGTGTAAAAGAGTGGTGGTATTGACGAGGATGTAAGACACAGAATTAAGTGCGAATAGTTGAAATGGAGAAAAACGTCTGGCGTTTTATGCGATAAAATAATTCCAATGAGGCTGAAAGGTAAATTCTTCAAGACTGTAATAAGGCTAGCTATGATTTATGGTTCAGAGTGTTGGGCGATTGATAAGAAAGTAGAGTAGAGAATGAGTGTAGAAGAGATGATTATCTCATGCTTAGATGGATGAGTGGAGTGACTAGAGAAGATAAGATAAGACATGAGGATATAAGAGGGAGTATAGGTGTAACGTCAATCGTGAATAAGATGAGAGAAAATAGACTTTTTGTAGTAACAACGATAATGGCTATGATGTGGCCATTGAAAAAAAAATAAAATACGATAGTAAACCAATATAAATTCTCGTTAATTGATTAAGTCCATTAAATCCCAAACATGAATTAATCATCAGTTATATTCGTATAAATGATAGTATTTTATCCGCTAAATACTACTGAAAGAATTATATGTAACACTAAAAATTTTACCAATAATCTGATTTTCTATAAGACGAGTGAAACCATTTTCTTTGAGACAGTTAACTAAGTTTGATTTATCATTCTGTATCGATAATTCATTTTGTTCATAATTAGCTAATACAGACACCTGTGTAAACTATAATTAATTTTATCATTTTGTCTAAAAATTAAAATTAAAACTATTACTTTACTCATTAAAATGAAAGTCAATAAACTGAATTAACGTATAAACTTAAAAAGATAAAATCTATTCCTTGGAGGAAACAATTGAATCAAAAAAAAAATAATAATAATAATTAAATTATATATATATATATATATATAATATTCTATAAATAACTATAGAGCTTATTATTGATTTACACTGTCGTTTATTCTAAGTGCAGCGACTTTATTTTCAGTGTTACAAATTTAAAAATGTTAAGAACTAATTAATCAAAATTTTATTGTTGATTTTTATTCTTAAATCTAACCTCTAAAAACTCAAAACTATAGTAAGTTAAAAATGTTTAAATTAAAAAAAAATTATTTCTTCTTAATTCTAATTTAATGAATTTCCACTGTATGTTTTACATTTTATTTCAGTTGATGTATGTTACTATACTTAAATTGAACTCCATACGGTTACCAAAAAAATTCTACTACACTATTTATATATTATTATGTAATATATACAACTTTTTTTTTTGTTACTAAAACAAAATATGTAAATTATTATTTAGACAAATCCTAATTAAAAGATAATTATATTCCTGTGATACGAATATTAGTTAATTTTTATAATTAATCACTGGGTAATACTCAAAAATACAAAAAGATAAATACAGATGTTAAATAGTCAACTCACTGATACTACATCTATAATGATAATACAAACAGTTACAGCTAACTTCATTTTTTGACGTTTAACTAGGAAAAATAAAAATTAATAAATTAGTTTAAACATGAATAATGATTTTTCATAAATAAAAATAACAAAATTCTACACATTTATTTACTTAGTAATGTTTTAAATTATTATAGAAGATAATTTCTTATTATAAATATAAACAATTTTCTTTTCTAAAAAAAAATTATTTAATATAATTTATTTATTAATCTCATAAATTTCATAAAAATGATAAAAATCAGCATTTAATTTTAATATTAATTAGTTCTTTTGATACAAGTTATAAAAAAAATGTGTATGTTGAAATATATTAAGTTTTATGAAATATCTCCAATAAAAAAATTAGTTACCAAAAAACTAATGTTTTTCTAAACTAGGTATTTGAGTGCAGAAAAATAATTTGTTAATTTGTATAACCTTACTCCATTAAATATATAATATATGAAATGTATGAATAGTATATTAAAAATAAAAAATGCAAAACAATACATATTATGTTCTATTTTTATTTTAATACCTGCACGTAACTATAAAATTTTCTTTTATTTTTCTTAAATAATCATATTATTCAAGTTTTTAAATATAGGCTGATTCTCGTAAGACTAAATTAAACTCAATTACTCTTAAAAAAATAAATTTTTGAGTTATGGTATTCTTTTATATTATTTTTGATTTATTTTCAACATTGATTAAATCTCTGTCATAAAACACTTTAATGCGTATTATGTGTACTTAATTATTTATAAAAAATTGATTATATACACAAACAAATATTTTCAAATGATTTTTGATGTTAACATTGTTTATTCATATATCACATTAAACAAGTTATATATGAACTAATTTATAATGATGATGTTCCATAACTATACAAAAAATTACAAAATCAGCTATTTTTACTGAAAATTGTATAAGTTTGACACAGATAGTTTTAGTGTCAATAAACGTTTTTTAAATATATTTTAAGTAATACAAATACACACAACAATGTCTAAATTATAACTGCAACGACACTGGTCGAGAAAAAAAAATAAATTTAAATAAACAAATATATACAAGAATGTGTTAAAGCTTTCATGGATTGACTTGTTGCTTTAAGTGCTCAAGGATGTATTCATGTGTTACAGTTGAGTTCTGATGTTTTGGACTATAGTTGCAGTCACCAACTAGCAATCATCACTTTGAAGATGAACTTTTCAATGAGTCCGAAACGTCAAAACTCGTCTGAAACATAGATAAATCCTTAAGCACTTCATGCAAATATATATAAATATTTTACAATTCAACAAAAAATATGTAATACAACTTATAATTTTAGTTATATATATATATATATATCCAAGTACCTTTTAATGTACGACGTGTGAAAAAAACGGCAGATAGAGTTAGATCACGTAGGACGACAAAAACAAGAAATAGCACTCACTGCCAGCGCTCAATGATCGACCGCGCTCCAGTAGATAGATTTTGCACCTTAGTTAAATAGCGAAGGTACTCTAATCAAGCTGGGCTTGTGATGTAATAAGGCGGCTGATAGAAAAGACGACGTTACCGTGTATTAAACGTGTCGCAAAATATACGGTACCGTGTCAAGTTTTGAACTAATTAGCCAATAACTTCTAGATATTAAGTTTTTGCATAATATTAGGTTTAAATTAATGTGGATTTAAAAAAAGGTCGGATTTTTAAACACAATCTAAATAAAAAAAAAAATTAATGTGATTTTTAATTCCCCATGTACATTGAACAACGATTGAATTAAAAAAAAAAATATGTCGTCGGTTAGTTCAAACTGCAATGATCCGTCTAGTTTAAAAATGTTCTTTCAATATATAGTAAAAACTTAACAGGTTTTAATTTGCTTGAAATGTTTATGGGTGTATCCACGTTTTCAGTTATGAGCTGACGTTTCCGACTCGTTGAATGGTCCATCTTCAGAGCGATAGTTACAGGCTCGTTGTAACTATACTGCAGTATAGTTTTTTTTACTTCAAACTGCCATAACTTTTTGAAAAGTGTATAGATCAATACAATTTTTTTTTACATTAGGTATTTTAGCTATCATTTGGTATATATATATTTTTTTTTTTTTTGAAAATCTGATATTTACCTGCCTACAGGAAATCAAAATGTTAACTTTTTAACTTTTAAAAATGTTCTGGAAATACTGACACTTTTGTATATATCTTAAATTAAAGTATATTACATTATACTTTAATTTGAAAAAAATTTTAAACTTTACGTTGTCTTTATGGTGAATTTGGCTACCGTATTAAAAAATATACTACTTTTATGTTAAACTTCTCGATTTTGTATTTTAAAATACCTTATAAGGGGAAACACTGATTTTCATAATTATTATATAAATCTAATTGACATAGCATAATATAGCCTACATGAAATTTTGTCAAAAAGTATAAGGAGTCCTGAACAAAACTTAAGCGCATTGTCCCATTTCAGATTTGCGCGTGGATAATAGGTGAGAGAAAATAAATTAGTTAGAAACAAAAAAGGCCTAAAGAATAAAGTGTTTGATACCAGCCAGACAACTTGTGTACAAGTTTACCCAACGCATTTAGTGTTAATTTCGGTGTATCATCATTCAACTCTAGACTAGATTCATGTATAAAAGAGAAAGATAGATACAAAGTGAGAATAGGTACGTGGAATGTTGAAACATTAGATGGTAGAAGTAGAGAATTAGTAAAAGTATTGAAGAAGAGAAAAGCTAACATTTGTTGTGTGCAGGAAAATAAGTGGAAGGAAGAGAATGCAAGGGAAATAGGTGAGTATTATAAAATAATATTCTCAGGTAAGTCAAATATTAAGAATGGTGTAGAGATAATAATGGATGAGGAGATGAAAAATAGAGTAGTAGAAGTAGCTAGAAAAAGTGACAGAATTATAGTCGTAAAATTAATTTTCAAAGAAAAAGTGTTAAATATAATAAGTGCCTATGCACCACAAGTGAGTAATTAGTAAAAATGGTTAAGGTGGTTTAATGAGGAACTAAAAGAATCTGTATTAAAAAGAGGACATAATGCAGTTTGTAAAGAGTTTAAGACTTGCCTGGGCTGGGTATGGGTGGAGAGCTGATTGGTCTCTTATAAAGATAGTTATGGTGAATCAATTAGATCGGAAAAGACCAAGGGAACATCCAAGAAAAGATTGCTAGATGTGGTTAGAAAATATCTGGAGGAGTTATAACCGTACTGAAATGGAAACTTGGATCTAGCTTATGCAAGAGAAGTATGGGGGAATTTTAGTTAGAGCTAAGGACCTAAGAACTTACGGAATTTTTTCTAAAAATTAATTAAGTATAAGCTTTGCAATTTTTTTACAGTTTCTAAATTTAGTAAATTATAGAAACTGTAAATATTATGAAATCGCTATTATAACCTTAATGAAACCGAAAATTTAGTCTTATAAATTTAAAAACCAAAATGAAATGTATAATATTTTTTAAAAATTGTATAATATTAACGTTTTGGAATCAAATTTTAAGTTCAACTGAGTTTTCAAGGGCTTCAAAATATTATAATATTTTTATAATCAATTTTTTGATATATAGTAAAAAAAATCGATACAAATAAACTAATCTATTAGATATAAGAAATATTTTCAAAAACTGAAATTATTTCAGTTCCTTGACTTGTCTTTAGTAATCGTACACAATATATAAAAAACATAGCTTCTTCTTAACTAAATATTATTTAATCATAAATCTGTTATCTGTAATAATACAAAAATAAGGTTACATGTGGGTGTATATGTGTATTATATATATATATATATATTAGGGTGGTCCTTAAAATACAAATTTTCAAAATTCGATTTACGCGCACCAAAAAATTGTTCTAATACATGTAAAAATAAACTGTGCAAAATTTGGTCCCGATAGGTTGACGTTAACACGTGCCGCAAGAGGGTTGAAAATTCGATCAAAAGGGTAGTTTTTCAGTTATTGTGCTTTATCTCAAAATATATGATTTTTACGTAAAAGTTTATAAGAAAGAAATTATACATATAATTATTTTACATAAAAAAGGTTATTAGCAAAAAACTCATAAGTCAAATATTTACCTCCTAAAAGTCAAAAGTTCCATAAATATTATGTTTACCAGTAAAATTCATATATTTCGGCAATTTAAGTATATACGATGAACCGTTCAAGTTATAAAAAAAATTTTCATGTAAAAGTTATTTGAAATTTAATTTTCTATTAGTTTTGTAGAAAAATAAAATTGTTTTACGTGTTTTCTGGCGAGGTAATAAAGAAAACTTATAAATAACAATCATTTTTCTATCATTTATCATTTTTTGTTTAGATAATGTTTTTGAGTTAAATTTGTTTAGTTCCTCAGAATATGAAACATAAGATGAATTGTCTGGTTATTCATATTCTTCAAAAACACGAGGGTTTATAACTTTTATGACTCCTAAATTAGTTTCTGCATTAGATCAATGCAAGATATCTGAAGCGATGCTGTGCATTTAATTATTTCTACTGCTGAAGCATTAGGTAATAACGTATAAAAGTTAATAAGCAACCGATCAACTATTCGACGGGAAAGATTATTTTTTAGTGAGAGAAAGGTAAATTAAATAAAAAAAAATTAAATTTCTGGATAAAAATAGTCTTGTCTTGCATTGGGATGGAAAACTACTTTCAGGAATTATAAATAGAGCTAAAGTTGATCGATTGCCAATCTTGGTATCATTTGAGGGAGTAAGTCAATTACTTAGGTTCCCAAAAATTGAGAGTGATTCTGGCGAGAATCAGGTAAATGCATTTTTTGATTTAATAAAGTTTGGGATGTAAAAAATAAAATACAGGCCTTGTGTTGTGACACAACAGCTTCTAATACAGGTCGCTTAAATGACGCTTGTATATTGCTTAAACAACTATTAGAGCGTAATGTGTTGTATTTACGATATCGTAGACATATTTTGGAATTAGTACTAAATAATGTTTTCGAGGTTAAACTTAATTTATGTACAACTGGTCCAGATGTATCAATTTTTAAAAATTTAAAGAATGTTTGATTAGTCTAGATTTGTTGAATTTTGATATTGGTATCAATGATATAATTATAAAAAATGCAGTTGAACACTAAAAATAACGTAAAAAAATTTTAATTAGAAACATTAATAATTCAACAATGTAGAAATTACTGCAAATAATTTATGTGTTATTTTTATGGGTGCAACACCCCTTAATGGTGTAAAATTTCACTACCCTAATGTTTTTCATCATGCTAGATGGATGTCTAAAGCAATTTATTCGTTAAAAATATACATGTTCAGAAAACAGCTTAAAATACGAGAAGAACATGCATTTCGTAATATTTGTGTATTTTTGGTAAAAGCTTATGTCAAGGCTTGGTTTAAGGGATCTATTGCCATACAATCAGCATTTAATGGTTTATATTTCTTAAAAGTTATAATTAATTATCCTGATTCTTTTATATCTAAAGCTGCAACACAGAAATTTACCAGACAGTGTGCCGGCTGATATTAAACTAAAAATAGTTGAGGCATCAAGAGAGACATCACAAAAACAAGATAAAAAAAAAATAAATAAACATAAATGATACTAAACTATTTAAAAAAAAAGAACTTGATAGATTTTTTGGAAACTCATCCTCATAGCTAGGTTGAAAATCCTGATTTTCAAAATGGTTTGAAAGTTTTATCTAATCCTCTTGTGACAAACGATATAGCAGAGAGAGGTGTAAAACGTATGCAAGAATACAATGAAATATTAACTAATGATGATGAACAAAAATAGTTTCTACTACAAGTCGTTAATGATTATAGATCACAATTTGGAGATTGTACTAAAAATTCATTGATGAATAATAACAATTAATAATCCTATCAAAAACAAAATTTTTTTTATATTGTGACTACTAGAAGAATGATTTTTAATATTATTTAATTTTATAATATTTTATGAGCATTAAGATCATTTTTCATATTTTTTTTAGCATTTCATTATTGGTTTACTTATTTTATTTGAGTTTGAAAAAATAAAAAAAAAAATCGTTATTTTTTAAATTATCATAGAAAAATGATTGTTATTTATAAGTTTTCTTTATTACCTCGCCAGAAAACACGTAAAACAATTTTATTTTTCTACAAAACTAATAGAAAATTAAATTTCAAATAACTTTTACATGAAAATTTTTTTTATAACTTGATCGGTTCATCGTATATACTTAAATTGCCGAAATATATGAATTTTACTGGTAAACATAATATTTATGGAACTTTTGACTTTTAGGAGGTAAATATTTGACTTATGAGTTTTTTGCTAATAACCTTTTTTATGTAAAATAATTATATGTATAATTTCTTTCTTATAAACTTTTACGTAAAAATCATATATTTTGAGATAAAGCACAATAACTGAAAAACTACCCTTTTGATCGAATTTTCAACCCTCTTGCGGCACGTGTTAACGTCAACCTATCGGGACCAAATTTTGCACAGTTTATTTTTACATGTATTAGAATAATTTTTTGGTGCGCGTAAATCGAATTTTGAAAATTTGTATTTTAAGGACCACCCTAATATATATATATATTGACCAAGTTTGGGTATTTTTGGGCATTTGGTCAATTGGTGAGCAATGAGGTTCTAAAAGTTGACACCCTTACCAGGCATCAGGGATCAACTTAAAAAGTATTACATAGTTAATAATTCAAGAACAATGTGTACTGAAGATAACCAAAAAAAAAAAAAACTGTTTAAATTATTATTACTCTTTAAGTAATTGAGTGGGTTATGATAAAAAAATTACTCTGTATAAATGTGTTGTCATTAATCTTTTATAATATTTATCACACATGAATTAAGTTATTTACAGTAAATGTCTTTTTAGATAAACATAAATTATAATTCGACTTATTAGTATTAATAGTATAATTACTAAAATTACTATGTCTATGTTCAATAAGAAAAATTATCATTGTAAATGTAGTGGATTAAAATGTTTATAATTTTTGTTAATATATTTTTTTTTTCGGTATTTGTGTATTGATATGTGCATTCATAATGAGGATTCATATTTATTTCATATATAAGGTACTTATTATTAAATACATGTTTATGCAAAGAAAAACATTTTTTCTTTTTGAGAAAAATAAAAATATATATATATTAAAAAAATCTTGTTTTTTTTAAATAGTCTTAATAGTTTTAAATAAATAAATTGTATTACTTTTATTAAATAAAAAGAATACATACCATATGATGATACAAATTTTATAATAAATATTTTTGTAATAATAAAAATATAGATATTATAATTTTAACAAGTAATAACATAAAAAAAATATATATACTTATGTTATTTAATAATAATTGTATTATAGATTTTATATCAGCGTTATTATGTGTTTTATTATTTCTATTTAAATATTCACCATTCATCTTCTATCATTATGTCATCTTGATTTTTAAATTGCATTTTTATATATTCTATTGTTTGTTTGAAATCATTATTTTTATCAAATTTATATGGGTAACCCTTTATATTTTTGTTCTTTATAAAAAGATGATATTTATCTTTTACATTAATATAACCATGGTCCATGTCAAAGTACCATAAATCATTTTAATCAATATTTTCTTTCTTTTGAGTACAATTAATTGATAGATCATATTTTTTATTTAATTTATTTAAATCTGCATATTCCAAATTTATGTTATGAGTTATTATGTGATATATTAAGTTTTTCCAATAATTATCTGTTACTTTACTGGAAACGTCTAGGACATTTTTACAATTTAAAAAATTATTCCATTTTTTATTACCTATATCTAATTGTATTAATGGTGAATATTTCATTACATAATAGTTTCTCATTGATATTTCTACATCGAATTGAGATAAATATGCTATATCGTCTATTAAAAAATAAATGTTTTTGTCTTTAAAATAATATTCAATACCTTTAAACTATTGATGATTATTATTGTATATATGATAATTCTGGCAAAGTAAATTTTTCTTATCAGCACACCCAGGACATAAATTTTGAATAGAACACATTTTGCTTGTTTTCCACCACGCCGTTTTTATTTTATTTTTACAGGTTGAATCCATTCTACAATTAATTTAGATATATGTTAATTTGCATGATATAGAATATATTATTTGAAAAAATATATATAAAATTTATTTATTTATAATATCTTTGAAAATAACGTTTAAGACGTTTTATGTGAATGATGTCATTGACTTTCTGTTTATTTAAAATTAGTTCCATTTCATCATTTATATCATTAATCCTTTTTATGACTTCATATGGTCCACGATATTTAGGAGCCAATTTTGATGATTTATCAGTTTGATGAAATGGATATTTGACTAATACTAAATCTCCCGGATGAAAAGTTAAAATAACATATTTTTTATCATAATTATCTTTTTGTATCTCTTGTTGTTTTTCAATTATTTTTGGAATTTTTATTCGTATGTCATGCAGTACTTCTAATGATTTTATTATATTATATGGTAAATTGTCAGAAATGATTTTATTATCTATGGAAAAATATGGTTCAAATACATGCATTAAATAAAATGGAATGTAACCTGTACTAGTTTGTGGAGTTGAGTTATATGCCAAAGTTACATAATATATGGTCATATAGTAATATGACCATTTAGATTAATCATTATTTTCAATATAATTTCTTAAAGATGCGCATAGATTACCATTTATTTTTTCTACAAGACCTTGAGTTTGGGGTGAGTAAGCTATTGACCATCCTTGTTTTATTCCCAGGTTTTTATAAATTTCTTGTACCATATTATTTTTAAAATGAGAACCCCTATCTAAGGTTAATTGTTGATAAACACCTCATTGTGAAACAATTTGAATTATAAATTTAACTTCAGCTGTATTAGACTCTACTGCTTTAGTAAAAATATATTTTGTATTATGGCATGCTGCCACTAAAACATTTTTTTTTTTATTACTTGAACTTAATGGACCCATATAATCGAAAATTAAGCGATTTAATGGCTTAGATGTTAGTGGTTATGTTATGTTAGTGGTATGTTATAGGGTGTAATTGTCCTATAGGTTTTCCACTCAATTTTTTATTTATTTGACAGTTTGGATAAGTTTTAATGAATTCGGTTACATCATTTAGACATGGTAAAAATCTTTCATCTTTCAAGAACACAATCTTTTTGTGTTCGTGGTGTTTTATTTAAATTCAGTAATTGCTTTTGTATTTCTATCTATAGGCGTTATGCCTTCTTTATTAATTGTATGACCAAGTAGCTCTATTTCACTATAAAAAAAATTACATTTACTTGTTTTGAAAGAAAAATTATAAGTATTCATTATTTCAAAAACTTTTTTTAAATTATCTAAAGATTCGTGAAAGTTTTTTCCAAAAGAAGTTAAATAATCTATATATATGATTAATTACTTATATAATAAAGAAGAAAAAATGTCATTTAATGTTCTTTGAAAAATAGCGCTACTATTTTTAAATCCTTGTGGCAATCTAGTAAAAGTAAAAAGTCCTAATGCTGAAGTAAAGGCTAATTTGTATTGATCTTTAGCTTTAACTAGTATTTGAAAAAAAGCACTATTAAAATCAAGTAAATTAAAATATTGTGAATTTTCTAATGTTCGTAATTAATCGGCAGTTCTTAGTGTAGGATGTAAATCTGATTGTACTCTATTATTAAATTTTTTATACAAAACAACCAATCGATACGAGTCTTTGTCTTTTTTATTTACTAAGAAGCCGGTGCCAAAAATTTGAAGTGATTGGTTTTATAATATCAGCTTCTATTAGTTTATCAATATGTTTTTAGCTTCGATGCGAAGCTGAGAAGGTATTGGTTTTACTAAGATGTGTTTTTTTTTTTTTTTTTTTTTTTTTT